GCAGGAGACTTCTATTGTTTAGGATTCAGAAACTGATTTACAAAGCTATCAAGAAGCCCTGGGGATAGAACTTTAGGATTCAGGCTAGGAGCAATCTTTAGTCTAGGATTTACAAACTGGTTAGAAAAGTAATCAAAGCCAAGAGCTAAGGAACTAAGAAACTAGGGAGGAGACTTAATAGTTCTATACTTAACATTTCTATAGGACAGAAAACTTAAAATTCTTTGTGTGTGTGGGGGTCCTCTCTTGGCGGGTAACAGTATGACTATGGGTACATCGCTTCTCAGCTTCTGTCTGTGTCAAATGGGAAAATGAGCCCACATAATCTCCAGTCTCCTGTAATTCTGACATTCTGTTATAATGAGTCCAACATCGTTGGAGAATGTGTTACGTCCCCAAGGTGGGCAGTTGGAAAGACGTTATACTCATATACATTCTGAAACAAAATCACTCTCCCTGCTAGTTTATATTGATAGATACATAAATACAGATGTATTTATGTACACATACCTATTTTTACCAGTGTTTTTGGTAAGCACCAAAATGGGCGTATGTACTTCAGTATTTGCAGTGCTAGTGAGGGGGACTGGTTTCATGTCAGTTTTCAGAACAGAACTGAAGAACAGAAATATTATAATGCCAAAGACAATACATTAAATTCTGTTCTACAGCAATACCTAGAACGAGGATAAGTACAGCATACACGAGATAATAATAACACTGCGTGGGCAGGGGAAAGAAATGCATCAAGTCACATAAGTTATTCTAAATCGGCATGCTTCTTTAATGTTGCCTGGTACCTATAAAGATTTCTTGTTATTCTCATTACCCAACTCTTTGTACATTTATAAACCTGATTATGTTGTGCTATTGATTCTGAAAGACGGTGTTTCTCAAACCTTTTCATAGAAAGTTCCTTTCCATAAGTAATGATTGTATGTCTTCAGTACTCTATCAAGTAAGTGACCGAGGCTGGTCGTGGTCACTCTGGACCCATTCCCCACCTGAGAGCCGAGGGGTGGACATCTCAGCACGGTGGTCGGCCACTTCAAGGCCCTCTCAGCTGTGGAGGACAGAAAACCTCCACATTTCCTAGTGTCTCCCTTTGGGTCTGTGCCTTATGGAAAAAATAATAATAATAATTGAGCCCCAAGTGCTGGCCAATGTGCACAGAATTATTTTATATTATCATCTCTAAAACAGTCCACAGTGGCCTGGCCAGAGAATGCAGCCTTCAAGCGAGCATCCAGACAGTCCTCTGAAAACTTCCTTCTTTTCCCACTGTGTGTTCAGATCCCAGAGGAAAGGAAATGGTTTTGGTCACTGAGCTTCTGTCTTCTATCCTATGGCCTAGACAGGAAGAAATATTGAAGTGATTTCTGTAATACCTTGGGAACTTTCAGCCATACTCCAGTGGTTCAGACTGACGTACAGAAGGGTGCAGTCAAGTCCAAGTTTAGAGAAAGAATCCTGACCCTTCAATAACCGATTCCAGTATGAAGTCTCCTGGATTTTAACCAGGGCAGCAGAGTGGTATGAAAAGATGAGCGCAGGTTTTAGAATTTGAATCCTAGTGTCAACACTTCTTTCATGTATGGCCTTGGACAAGTTATACCACCCCTCCAAGTACAGTTTCCTACTCTGTACGATAAGGATAAAAACATCTAATGTTCAGTTGCTTGATGAGGCCATTGCATAAAGTTTATGGTACTTTGTCAACTAGTCAGTTAAAAAAAATAACTGAAATGAAATGAAAGAAGTTTCTGTGGCTCCTGGAACAAAAGGGATATGAGGCGCAATAGGTTAAATTTAAAAAAAAAGAGGGGGTGGGAGCGCAGCCAGTTGGCTCAGGTAGTTAGAGCACAGACTCATAACCCCAGGGTTGCCAGTTCGATCCCCACATGGGCCACTGAGCTGCACCCTCCGCAACTAGATTGAAACAACTACTTGACTTGAAGCTGATGGGTCCTGGAAAAAACACACTATTCCCCAATAAAATTTCTTAAAAAAAAAAAAAAGTAACACCATTTAACAACAGCAACCAAAAAACCCCCTAATGTTCAGTTATTTGTAAGGATTAGCAATACTATATACGAGGTGTCTAGCATATTGCCAAAAGCATGATAACTACTATGATCGTTATCCGTATCTACAACCCGAAAGAGAGTAAGGCTGTTTTTACAATGAGTCGCAGCTATAAAGACAGTCAGTCAGTGAGTCAGATATTACAAACTTCACTCACATTGTGACTATCTTTGTCTTCCAAAAGACAAAATTAATACATACAGTGGTTGTTTATTAGTGAGATCAATGGTCACAATTCTCCCTCTGGACCTGTTAGCCTTGCACAGAGAAAAACTATGTTTAGGCAAAGACGGAACTCAGTTGTCAGTCTGTTTAATTGCTCCCCAGGAGGACCACAGCAGAGTGTGAATGGCTCAAGGCAAGTTGGCCCCAATGATAATTATACCCACTTTAATATCCTTGACCAAAAATGAAGCTTTCTGTAACATTGTGGTAACATTTCCTCACACTCAAATTTTCAGATTATTATAATATAAAACCTATAAGTGAATTTATAGGATTTCTTAAACACATATTCCAAGTGTAATTGAAAA